CAAACCACCTCTTCTTCAGGTCGGAGCTCCCAGGGCTGCACTCTCCATACACAGGCCCTGGCCTGGAGGGCAGCACAATCAAGCTGCCCTGGTGACCCAGGAAACCTCAATTTAAAGTAAGGAGCTCCCAAACTAGTTGTGCCCCCAGGCACCTGATTTTAGGGAGGCGGGAGAAAGCAAAGCGGGCAATCCCCCCCCCCCCCCCCCCACACACACACCCAAGAAAAAGTACCATCATTCTAGTCCTTTGCTCCATATCATACAGATAGGTCTCAAGTGGCAGAGCTACAATTTTAAATCAAGTTCTTTTGACCCCAGAACCTATGTTCTTACTTTTCTAAACTGCCACAGAAAAAAATAGTGTATGGGAATGGATGTCACTTAATCTAAAGTTATGAACTGTTTGGAGTTCTTTTCAAAACCTGCGGAAGTGATCAGCCAGTACTGCAGACACATCTCCAAGAACACCTTTTTCATGAAGGGGATCTAGTACAATTTTTGAAGAGCTAACTGAATCTGCCACTAACTTCTACCCCCAGTACTTACCTGGTCTTCTAGGGTGACAAGCTTCAATCTGTCTACACTGAAAGCCCCCACACCTTTCCTTCTCCAAGCCCAAACAGGCTTTTTCCTTCAGTGAAAACTCAATTGATATTATTTTTAGCTCCCTCATATTAGGCTGTTATGGAAGTGGACGGTTCACATTATTTCTGTTCTTTGTAAGATGGTATCTGGACTAGGCATGGTCTGAATAGCACAGGGTCAAGCAAGACTATCATCTACCATGCCCTGGGCTTAAAACCAACTACTGCAGTAGAAAAACTGCATTCCACTGCAGTGCGGAAAACTACAAACACTTTCATTAAGCATCTGAGTAAGAGCTAGCTAAGCTGTTTTCAAGATTTGTCACAACTCCTCATGCTGTAGCAGAACTGGTCTTTGGTTCTTCAAATAAGTCACGAGCCTCTGCCCCTCAGGGTGCTTGCTGGCTGTATTGGAGCAACTCTCCCACTCCCCTCCACCCCTAACTTCCTGCCTGTTTGGGACCTACTAAGCTCAAACCTAGCCTAAGCCTCAGCCTCACATCTTCAGGAAAGCCCTACGTTCCTCTGTTTTAGGCTCCTACCTTACAACAGAATTTAAATTGTTCATTTAAAGATTCTTCTTGCCCGCTGGTGTGGCTTAGTGGTTGATCATTGACTTATGAACCAGGAGGTCAGGGTTTGATTCCCAGTCAGGGCACATGCCCAGGCTATAGGCTCAATCCTCATTAGAAGGAGTACAGGAGGCAGCCAATGGATGATTCTCTCTCATCATTGATGTTTCTATCTCTCTCTCCCTCTCCATTCCTCACTCTGAAATCAATAAAAACATTTTTTTTTAAAAAGACTCTTCTTCACTAAAGAATAAGCTCCATAAAGGCAGACCAATGGGGGAGGGGGTGTCAATAAATGTTGAGCTTTTCTTTTTCATTCAAACATATTCCCACTCCCAACAGGGCATTGGCACCGACATACTTTCTCTCTGCAGCCTCTTAGGATCCTGATACGTGCCTGAGGGTTTCTCATGTTCCATTACCCTATATTTAGGCAGGACCATGATTTACCTCCCACATTATTATAGCACTTAACCATTTGGGCCTAGTGAGGTCTTATGGGATCTGATTTTCACTCAACACACTGACTGTGTATCTCACCAGCTGTGTCAACGGCAGACTCTGCCACTGAACCAGGGCCCCCTCCTTCTGGAAGCCGTGGCTTCTTGGGGTTCAGGGCCAATGAAGAGGTCTATTGGCTTCCCCAAACTTAGGCAACTTAAGGGACTTCCCAACATTTGCTACATGCATCTGAGGTTGACTCAGTAACATAGACTTACAGGTTGGAAAAGCTATTGTAACATTTCAATCTCCCTGGAGTCCATGTCCTCCTGCCCCACAAAAACCCATCATTATAAACAGGAATGAGGTTGATTTCAGGTATAAGTAATTCTGGCAGCTTCTCTTTCTTCCTAACAGCCTTATTCTGAGTCCACAGCATTTTAAGCCTTTATAGAATTTCTAAGCATCAACTTCTGGGTTCACAGAATTTATGTAACAGGGAGGAAAGTAACTGTATATCAAGAAAGCCATAAAAATATAGCATTTGAAGTAAAATATTCAAGCCTATAGTTGTAAAAGAGCAGTGTGTAAACACAAAACCTTCCTACCTTTGAAGGAAAATGTCAAATCATGGTTCAGTCATCAAGACAAAGAAAAATAGACTTTGAAGTCCCTTGTCTGCTCCTAGTTTACTTCAATTCTACTTAAATATTATTCCTTGATATGGTTACTGGGTAATGATCATAATGCTCTTTCACACCCCTGACCGACAGATTTCCAACATCTTCACCCAAGGCAGTATAAAAGGCCATGCACCAATGGCCTATGGTGCCTCACAGTGCTGACTTGCCCGGTGGGTTCTGAACTATTGACTACAGGTCTCTGGGAACATGTTCTCAAAAAGCCAGGAAGCCACAAATGTTCATTCCTTTCCACCATGTAAAATGCCTCATTAAAACACAGATACTATGTCTCCGTACAATAACTCTATTGAAAAAGAAAATGTAAATCTGACAGACTCTGCTCTTGGTAAACCTATTATGCAGCCTCTCCCTTCTTTCTTCTCTATACTTAAACAATATGCTTTCAAAAATTATGATATGCTTTCTTCTCAGGAGAAATAGACTCACCAAGTCTATAATTTCTAGAATCTTCCTTCCCCCTTCAAGCAATCCTAGAGAATGGAAAAATTGCTGGAACATCTTTCAAATTTTCTAAGCACATTACCTCATTTGCTTTAAGTCAGAGGTTGCAGCGTAAACACGGACAGGACCTCGCGGGCAACAGAAATGGGAGAAGTGGAGCAGGTCATGCCAGAGATAAAAAGAAACGTAAGCCCAGACTACAGGGGCCATCATTATTAGCTCCTCCCAAACTGCAACCAGAGGAGTGCAATCAGTGTTCCAGAGCTTCCAATTTTTAAGGAGAATCTGAAACAAAACATATTGAAATGTGAAACTGCCTTATTTTTGTGTTAATTACTTTAAAATACTCTCCCATTGGGCCAAAGCATATCATTGGGCTGATTCAGCACACAGGAGTCCAGTCTTAACCCCTTACTCTAAGCTAAGAAATCTATGTAGGTGTCTGTTTAAAAGAAGAGGTATGGGGGAAGGGGAGGAACTAAAATACCAAATTCAGGGGCTTCATAAAATATAAAATGTTTCTTTTATATTTCTCTTCAATCTAAAGCATTACCCTCCTTAACCTAAAACACAAAAAGGTGATTACAAAACTACAAAGGATGGAGGAAAAAAATGCAATGATCACCCCCAAGGAATCACCTTCACGCATTCTTTTGTTCCTGCTATAAACATACTGCTGCAAAAAGGGCTCAGATGTTTACTCTTAAACTTTTCGCATAAGAACCCCAAAGGCATATTCATCCTTGGGTATGTGACTCCTCTCCATCTGTCCACTTTCAAAAATCTGAAGTATTTCATCAAGCCCTGTCCCTCACCCTCCTCTCTATCCCAGCTAGGACACAGATCACAAATAATCCCAATGTGCAAAATTGTTCAAATTTTGGAATTGCAGTCAAAGTAATCTTGCTAACCTTTTCTCAGAATTTTTAAATTGTTATATTGACTGGGATGCACTCACACCCAAGCCATTGTTTGTTATAATTTCTTGGCATTTCGAAACATTCCTGAAAAACTAGAAAAATCATTCCCTCATTTCTAAGGCTTAAAATACTTAAGGAAGTCAAATTCCATTTGTAATAAATTAACAGCATCTAACTTTTAAGTGCTTTATGCTTCATGGCATAATAGAGGTATGATCCCTATGTTCTATGGAAGGAGTGTTCAACCCACACCAGAATTATTTCATAACACACTCATAGAGAAGTCAACCAAAATATTCTAGTTCAAGCATGTCAAACTCAAAGGCTAACACAGGCCAGATAAACAAGATTTAAGTTTATGTGGGCCGTAAAAAAACAAAAGCTTCAATTTTCATAGAAACATAGGTTTATTTCGAAAAAGACAAGTTGAATACAAAGGGCTGAAATAAATGAGTAATTGTTAACATAAAATAATTGAATTTTTTAATAAAAAATATTTTTTCTTAAACATTAACTTACCAGACACTGAATAACTGCACAAAGTAATAAGCATAACACAAATATTTCCTGTTGCGCACACCAAACAAGTCAGTCCAAGACTAATGATGTGGCAATCAGCTGCTAAAATATTCGCTGCTAGTATTAGTGGAGAGAAATGGTGTGCCTGCGTGTAAGGCACATAAGGGAAATGAATGCAACACGATTATAGTAATCAGTCATTAGCGGATGTTGTAGTTCGTTATTAATAATTACGTATAACAGGATATTGTAAAAATTAAGTTACAAAATTTTTATTAAAACGTTTCTTACATACCGTTATATCGGTGGGCCGCATGCGGCCTGGGAGTTTGACATGCTTGATCTACTTTGTACTAAAATCCAAATCTGATTAGACAAATAACCTTTCAAGTCACGGTGTCAGAAGCCAGAAGCACCTAAATAAGTAGTTAGAATCCAGTGTCCAATTAAAAATATTCTTGCCCTAGCCAGGTGGCTCAGTTGTTTAGGGCATGTTCCGTACACCAAAAGGTTGTGGATTCGATCCCCGGTTCTCTCACATCGATGTTTCTCTCTCTCTCTTCTCTTTCTCTCTCCCTCTCTCTCTCTCTCTCCCTCTCTCTCTCTCTCTCTGTCTCTCTTTCTCTCATCAATAAACATGTCCTCAGGTGAGGACTTAAATATATATATTCATTCCTAACTTCTCTTGTTCTGGAAAACCATGTTAGAAGCACTGAGATTGTTTGATGTGTCTTCTATTACAGCAGTTCCACTTGTATGCCCTTGTTTTAGTTCAGTACAGAGTAGTTAATAAGATATTATACAATGAAACCGAGGCCAGGCATTTCGTAAGTTTATTGGAGAATTCTTAGGTGGAAGGGGAAAAATCACAGACTTAAACAACTGATGAAAGATAAAAGAACAACTGAGAATTATTACAGAAGTAATTTTTGAAATGTTTATTTTGAACCACTGCTGAAACAAAATTTTAGTGCATCCTAAAGTTCATATTTCGGTAAATGAACATATTAAATTACTGAAAAGCAAAAAGAAGTTACTGTTATACAATACAAGGTCTTAATATAGTAATTCAGCACAGTCAAATAAACAACTACAATTATTTAAAGCTGCTTTTGCTATATATCTGATATATTAAATAAGAATGTGAATTACTTTTAACACTGCACAAGTAACCGAAGATAGCAAATCCAGCAATATTAAACCTGATATTAAATAGTATTCAAACATTACAACAAAAATAAAACAATGAACTTCTACAACTACAATTCTACCCTTGTGAAAGGAATGTACATGGATGGTAAAAAAAAATAAATAAATAAAGTGACAAGAGTGACTAACACTGTATCTGCTTCTTCAGAGCAGAAATAGAGAGTAACTGCATACAGGGCCTTTTGCTACAAATGAGAAAAAATGTATTTCACTTTAGTACAATTTTATAATTCCCACTGAAGCTCTAACTCTTTTGTGCTGGTGACAGGTGGATAGGGTTTTAAATGAAAGTATTTTCCCTACAGTTTGAGTATGGATGTGTCATTTTTTAAAAATTTGTTGGAAAGTTTCCGTTGAAAAATATAAAATTTAAGCAATATACTGATGGGAAATTGATAACATTAATTGTGGAAGAATAATATTAGCTAAATAATTAACTAAGAAAACATCTGGGTCTGGACTCTGATGATGACTCAAGTTTGCCTCTGGGGAATGTGCACTAATGCCAAAGTCACTGGGTAAACCACCTTTCATTTCATAAAGGGTGCGTTTAGTAAGTAATTAAACTCTCTTATCAATAACATAAACCACTTATTTAAGCATAATGAAAGTATTATGAATTTAATTAATTCATATCAAATATCTGAAAGGGTAAGTGAAACATTTTTCAAAGTATAAAGATGTCAGTCATCACATATATTCACTGAGTGAATACTTTCAAAGGTTTTATTCCATTAAATTGTATCAAAGCATCCAATAGACATTGTAATTTTCTTCTGTGATTTAAAATGAATCATTTCTTTTGTATAAATCTGTACATATTTTCAAAATCAACATTAATAATACCTAAAAATTTAAACTTATCTTGAGAAAAGAAGACTAAGAAAGACTTGCCACATTTCAGTCTAAAATAATGTTCTAAAAACCCCTTATCAGAGGCCTCATTCACTTTCTACAGATCCTTCAATGGCTCTAAATGTGATAAAGAAAATTCAACTCAATGCACATCACAATTTTAACAGTTCTGAATAAGATATTTCATAAGAGCAAAAATCTACAGAATGGCATTAATACAATATTATAATATAAATATGTCAAGTAGATTTGTATTAAAATAAGACAGAGCTGTCTTCAAAAAACAGCTGTTCTGAAGACTGAGCAACCAAAGGGATCTAGAATGTCTTTGGAAAAATCACAAAGTGCCTTCAAAGAAAGTAAATTTAGACTGTACTTGATAAAAATACTGCTCTAAACACAAATGTTTTCTAAGTAAGGAGGCTTCTTTTCACATCTGCCAATACTTCACATTTTCTCTATGTCCCTGCACTGAACTGATACAAGTGTGGACTTCTCTATGATTATTACTAGGCATGCCAATACCTAATGACTGGGCTGACATAAGTGGAGGCTAACTAAGAGAACTTGGAAAACAGCACAGCTCCATGAAACTGCAAAGGAGAAAAGGAGCTGAGGAAAATCTTACCTCAAAATGACTATTACCACAAGAAATAAACATAAACATTTTCAAGCACATTTTACAAAATATATTCTCACTTTAGGTTAAAAGAAATTGAGAACTCAGTTTGCTGTTAATCAAACCCATACATAAACTGAAGTTTCTAAACACAATGACAGTTACACATTTGTAAAAATTCAATCCAAACTTAATAATCAGTTAACAAGTGTTATAATTAACAACAAAGCTCCTAACATTTAAAAAACCCAGTCCAGTGCTGCTGTATCTCAAGTTTGAAGAAGCTAAAGGCAGAAACAATTCTGGCTATATACATTTCCTGCATTTCTCCACCTTAAAAAATACTTAAAGAACTTGAGGAAAATTTATTTTCAAGGCCTGCTCTTTATCTTAAATTGAGAAAAACCAAAGCTTGCAATATAACTTCAAAATATTTAAATAGCTCTTGGCATTTTCTTAAAAAGCAAATTTGACTCTTTCATTATAAAATACATTTCTCTACCATAATTATTAATTCAAATTAATATAAGTACCCCTATTCCTTGTCCCATGGCAGGTGCTATGGCTTCTACACTATGTGCAGCTTCCAAAAAAAGTCAGTGCTCAGGGAAAAAAAATAAAATGAATTAAAGCAAAACCAAAGCCCCCAGAAAAAAGTGATTTACTCTAGATTGCAAAATCCAATCGTGGAAGAACCAAAAAATTCACACATGCACACTCTCCAATACAAAACCAAGACACAATCTTGGTCCTCTAGTCAAATCAACTTGCAGTTTCTAAAGCTAAAGCAGTAGGAAATGTAGAGCCCAAAAGGATCATGTCAGAGGTCTTTACAAAATAGTGCAGATAGATTTTATCACAGGAGGATCCTTATTTTCCCCTAGAAAAAACTTATCCTTGCTCAAGAGGAGAGGTTTCAAAAATGCATTTCCCTATTAACATTAATTTTTAAAAATTCAACATGTTTTTCAACTTTATTTTAATTTTAGAGTAAGTTGGGGACCCCAAATAGTCAAAAAAAGAAATAAAATTTTTTGCTGCACAATCTTTACAGACATTTTAAAGCACCTTTTAAATATCAATAGTGAATTTCTAACCAAGAAAATATTAAAATAAAAGAGGGCACAAATCACTAGCAAGGTTAAAGTACTCCTTTACACACACTCACACACACACACTCACACACACACACACACACACTCACTTTCCTGCCAGAACGATTGGAAATAATGTACTTTGATGAAAGGCTGAGAAAAGTATCATTTACAGTATTAACAGAAACCTAAAATATTAATGTTCCTAAGGAATTAAATAGTTTGAGGGATTCAAAAACCTACCAATAGCTGAGCTTTGAAAATAAAATTGACTTTTAAAAATGAGTCCAAAACTACCAGAAAAAAATCAGCTCCAATGCTATTTTTTTATGTCAAATTAGTTATTAATAGGATACCACTTGTTTACAAAGGAGCAAATTCTAACTCTTTATCCCTGGCACCTATCCTTAGCTACCTCAGTGCAGTTTTTATCAGCACAATTTGGATGTAAAAAGAATGACATCAATGTCCCTGAAAACCTCATGGTTAGACCTTCCTTCAAATACGTTCTTAGGGTTTTAACATATTACACATGTGTACAGAAGAATGAAGATAATATTTGACAGAGATTACAAAAGTATGAACTATATACAGTATGTGATGACACAGGAGCTTAACAAGCTGTATTTACTTTCCCCCAATTTACTTTAAATGTTAATATTCACTATTCAAATTTTTTCCTATGCGTCTTTATCTGTTTCTTCCTCTCCTAAAACAAGTAACAAACATATACTGGTTTGGAATTTGTTCTATGCGTTTTCCAAGAGCCAATCATACAGTGACTTGCATTTCTCCTCACTGGAAGTCTTTTCCACCACCTCATAGTAGTTAAGCACAGCCTGCAGGAGGTCTCCCACTTTCCATCCTTTTTCTTGTAATTGTTTTGAAAGCTAATAAGACAGAAAGATATGTCAAATATTAACCAAAAATAATTTTATAACAATGAAGTTTTCATTTTTATTAACATCAGCAAAATCTAAGAATCTTGTTTGTAATAAAATACTGTTTCCCAGTTACAACAAAGTTTTCTCCCTAACCACCACTTTACACAAATTAAACATTTTCCTTTCCTGCCCTTTATAAACACATCTCCTCCACAGAATGACACTTTGGCATTGCTGGAGACAGAACTCCAATAACCACACCAAGCAAATATCCTGTGTGGGAGTATAGAGCTACATTTCTACAGGAAATTCTTAACCTAACTAAATACATCTGCCACACTCTCAAGTAGAAACATAAAATAGTAAAGGCAATGTCAAGCTTAATAAAAGGATGTGGATTTTCCTTCCACAACATATAGTGTGGTGTATGTTTTTGGAATACACACTCTAGCCTCAAAGGAAACATGGTTTTCTAAGTTAAGAAATGTTAATGTTTTAAAAAAAACACACAAAGTAAAATACTGTGGTCATCATTTCACAATACAGTATATATGACGTTGTATACCTGAAACTAATATAATATTATATATCAATTATACCTCAATAAAAAAAAAGTAAATAGTTCTGGCCTGTTGGCTCTGTTGATTAGAGTGTCATTATGCACACCAAAAGGTTTAGGGTTCAATTCCCGGTCAGGATGCATATGGAGGCACCCAATGATGTTTCTCCCTCTCTTTCATTCTCTCTCTTCCCCTTGCTCTCTTGATTAAAATCAATAAACATATCTTCTAGTGAGGATTTTTAAAAAGTTAATAAATATAGGTTTAAATAAATCTCTATCGTCACCAATCAGAACATCTTCACTCATTTTTTTTCTATTTAGTTCTGTAAAAACTACTTTAATTTTTGTAATGTAAATATGCTTAGCCTTTTTAAAAATAGCTTTTGAATATACCTCAATAAAAATATAATTCACATACCATACAATTCACTCTTTTAAAAGTGTACCTGTTGATGGTTTTTAGTATTATTCACTGAGTTGAATGCAACCATCACCACAACCAATATCAGAACATTTTATCACACCACAAGGAAAGCCCTACACATTAGTAATCACTTCCAATTTCTTCCAATCCCCTCAACTCTAGAGAATCACTAATCTACTTTGTGTCTCTATTTGTCTATTTTGGCCATTTCATATAAATGAGGTCATTTATATGAAATTATTATTTATATCACATGATCTATTATGACCAGCTTCTTTCACTTAGCACAATAATTTCAAGGTTCCTCCATGGTGTAGCATGTACCTACTTCATTCCTTTTTTTTGATGGATTATGATCCATTGCATGGATATGCCATATTTTATTTATCCATTCATTAGTTAATAGACACTAAAGATGTTTCCACTGTTAATCTATTATGAATAATGTTGCAATGGACAACATTCATATACTTAGGAGTGGAATTGCTGCGTTATATAATAATGCTATGTTTAACTTTCTTTTTTTGCTATGTTTAACTTTTTGAGGAACTGGCAGAATATTTTCTGACAAGGCAGAATATAGGGACAAAGTCCCCTAACTCAAGCGCTATCACACTCAGCTCTGCTGCTGGCCTTTCTTCGCCCTCAGTTTATCTGAGACTAAATGACCTGAAAATGTTTGCTCCCTGAGGTCATTTCTAACACTTTTCCTACCCATTCTTTCTTCTTGACAGTTTATTTCCTGAGCATCACTTTCTGTCTTATTTCTCCCTTTGCCCAAAAACAGAGACCTAAACTGAAAAAAAAAAACCCCCACCAAAATATCTAAGTAAAAAAAACAACAAAAACCCACTATTTTTTCATAATATCTTTTCCACACACTTCTTCCAACAATACTTTTGTAAACTCTGAACCAGGAATCACGAGAAACTGGGCAGTTCCTTTTTTGTTATTATTGAGCAATTTACATTGGTTATTCATTAGACTATTCTATACCTTACAATTAAATTAAACCAAAGTTCTGATAAGAAACATTCTGAGCCAAAAATGTTAAGAATCTAAACTGAAAAAAAAAATGTTTAATGAAAATACAGTTTTTTATTGCAATAACAGACCATTATGTTTCTTTAGCAAATATGCTCATTATTTTTTGGATACTTGAGATAAAAGAACTGTGGTAATGATTCCCAAATGCTGGTTTGTGCAGTAAACTGAAAATCTTGACTAACAAGGTGCTTGGTATACAGTATGTTCTCAATAAAAATATCCTATTAGTGCATCAAATCTGAATGTTTTATTAGAACCTTATTAAACAGGTCCATTGTCCCTTATTAGAACTTAAACTTCTACTGATTTTTTATTGTGCTAGCTCCTCACACTAATGAAACTGAATTAACAGAGAAAGAGACAAACGAAGTACTAGGCACAATTATAAATCAATTTAATACAAAGAAAAACTCAATCTTTTCATACAAACACCTGAAATGTTTATTAATGGCACCTAACTTTGAGAACTTAGGATGTACCAGGCACTAGATTAAGCATTTTTTATAGTATTATATTGAATCCTCACAAACCTCTGTAAATTCTATACTCACTTCCACAGTGCAGATTGGAAATTGGTGAACTTGCCCAAGGTTACACCGCTAGAGAGTAGCAGGGCTGATATATGAGCCCAACTATCAGACTCTATTGCCTACACATTTAATCACTCTACTATCAATGAGTTATCTTATTAGATCAACCAGTTGACACAGAACATCATGTACTAAATATATCTTCACAACCACCCTATAAGGCAGATACTTACTTGTATAAACTCTTTCTTTGCAGAGTCATGAAAAGAAAGTTCTGCAACTTCAGCTTCAGAGGCCACGAGCCACTGAAGAATAATCCTTAGTTGAGGGTCTACTGTGCATGGCTCCATGTCAATATTCGTTATTAGCAGCGTCTTTTCATCTTGCCCCAAACCTAATATTTAAATTTAAACAATATGAAGTGAAATGCATCAATTCAACTCTCAATACTCTGGTTTCCAAGGATATGTAAATATTTGCCACGTCTTAAGATTCCAATGAATGCTTGGAAAAATTCATCCTTTTTTAACCACACCAAAACATCAATTAAAATGTTTCTTTGAAAGGGCAAAATAATGTAAAACAAAGGGATAACTTTGATCACCTACTGATAGCACAGTACTGAAGTACCACACATGCCATCATTTGTGTCAAAATATGATCCACAGGTAAAAGGAGAAAAAAATGAAACTATAAAGCAAGATTACAATCAAAATACAAATGAAACACACAAATAAAAACCTCAAATAAACACATTAAATGGACTTTAAGAAAGCTTTTTGAACTAAGAGAAATAGCGGCAGCAACTACTTGTATAGCATACATTAAAGTATTATTCTAAGCTGTTTAGATATGCAAAGTCCTATAATCCAAAACCACCTATGATGTAGAAACTATCATCATCTCCATTTTACAGGTAAGGTATCAGAGGCAGAGAGAGATCCAGAGTCTCAGAGTGAGGAGGTGGCTGAGGAAGGATATGAACACAGGCAATCTGGCTCCATGCTCTTAATGGAAAAATGTTATATGCAACCACTTTAATCCCAAAAGCAAGACAAGGGAATTTTCTGGCACACCACTATTATAAATAAGATATTGCTCTCACGTTTATTTACTTATTTTTAAATGAAAGTTATGTTTTCACCCTAGCCACATCGTTCAGTTGGTTGGAGCATCTTCCTGTGCACCAATAAGGTTATGGGTTTGATTCCCAGTCAGGGCACATATCTAGGTAGCAGGTTCAATCCCTGGTCAGGGTACATATGAGGCAACTGATTGATGTTTCTTTCTCATCTCTCTCTCTCTCTCTCTCTCTCTCTCTCTCTCCCCCGCCCCTTCTTTCCTCTCTCTCTAGAATCAATGAAAATCATATCTTCGGATGAGGATTTAAAAAGTAAGATAAAATCAATGTAAAAAAAACATTGTCAGGTGATTAAAAAAGAAAATATAATCATGTTTTCAACATAAAGTAGGATGAATCTGTTGACTGTAAAAGTAATGACTTAACACTCCTGCTTAAATTAGGATGGCTGGACAATAAGCAGTGCTAAGACATGGGCCATCCCACACAAAAGGTGAACAGTAGGGCCTGCTGGCAGACGTGGTACCAAATAGTACTAGTAATGGAAATTTGTTGGTTAATGTCCCTGATTCATTTTTATAGTTTGCATTCTAGACCACTGCTAATTATTTTTAGGATATGTGTAGGTCCCTAATTTTTTCACTTAAAAAGGTGGTCTGGCCCTCGCCAGTTTCTCAGTGCTTAGAGCAGTGATGGCGAACCTATGACACACGTGTCAGAGGTGACACGCCAGTTTCTCAGTGCTTAGAGCAGTGATGGCGAACCTATGACACACGTGTCTATGACACGCTTGTCAGAGGTGACACGCGAACTCATTTTTTTTGGTTGATTTTTCTTTGTTAAATGGCATTTAAATATATAAAATAAATATCAAAAATATAAGTCTTTGTTTTACTATGGTTACAAATATCAAAAAATTTCTATATGTGACACGGCACCAGAGTTAAGTTAGGGTTTTTCAAAATGCTGACATGCCGAGCTCAAAAGGTTCGCCATCACTGGCTTAGAGTATTGGCTTGTGAACTGAAGGGTTGTGGGTTCGATTCAGGTTAAGGTCATGTACCTCAGTTGCAGACTCAATCCTGGCCCCAGTAGGGGCATGTGCAGGAGACAACCAATCGGTATGTCTCTTTCACATCAATGTTTCTCTCTCTCTTCTCTTACCCTCCCTTCAACTCTCTCTAAACATCAATGGAAAACTTACCTTAAGGATTAACTTAAAAAAAAATAATAATAAAAAAGCTGGTCCACATTATTCTCTTAAAATAAATGTACTGTTTTGCCCTCCTCTCTCACCATTGACTTTCAATCAAAAAGGGGTTTTGGTGCACTATCGTACTAAATATGGTCTCTGGGCCATGTTGTGATTCCTGCAGGAGTCATGGGGTTGGAAGCTGTCACCCCAAGGCTTCTCTGTACTATTGGCTTTTTCAGTTCAGGACTCCTGGTTGCCTCACCTATGAATGACCTTTGTCTTTAGAGAAGGTACTAAACACTAGTGAAAAGAGAAGGGACTGACATCCTAAAACTACAAACAACCAACAACAAAAATTTTGAGGGTTGTTTCCTTAGAATTTCCATAATTTTGAATCTGTCTATAAATCTACATCAATCTATCTCCTAATTTACCAGTTTCTAATTTAAAAATTTTAAAAGTTGGCTACAATTTTCTATATAATAAGAGATGACTATAATCTCACAAGCTGGGTAATAACATATATTTTCAAATAATTAATCTCCTGATTTCTACTTACTCACAAAAGAAATCCTAACAGCCTGCCTAATGCCAAAAGTGAAAATTTCTAAATGAATTTTAGATATTAACTTATATTTTCTTCCATCTTAATCATTCCTCAGTCAAGTTAGCATTCATTACGGAAAATATTCACTATATGCATTTATACCATGTATATAGCCTTTGGAATAACCTACTCATAAGTATTACTTGGGAAAAGTATAAAACTTTTCTATCTTAAAAAATCAACACTTTAACAAAAATAAAGCAAATATTATTATGCTAGCCATAACTCAGCAAATACCACCCTACTTCTACTTTATATCTGATGAGAAAAACTTACTTCTAGAAGCCCTGTATGAAGAGAATATCTACTTAGCAAAGGCACTAGCATTCAAATAGAATAATCATCCTAGGTCTGAGGATTTTAGCTAAACAATTGGTACATGACTTTCCTAAACAAGAAAAGTACAATTGGTCAATTGGTAATAAAACTGACTGGAAATTTAGGTGTTATAAAATACATTTCAAAAAATTCATTTTGGCAATTTTCTCAGTTTACCCACTTCTAAAAAAACCTACTTATATAAAAACCCTGGGTGTAACATCACAGCCAGAACCGAAACCAACCGGAAGGAAGTCAGTCCTGCAGGGGTCGTCTTGGAAACAGCTTCGCCCTCCCCCAGCTGTTTCCTGGAGGGCGAGGTTTCAGGCAGGAACCCGCCCTCAGAGCGGAGCTTGGAAGTGAAATGATTTGTAATGGATCTATTATTGAAGCTACCTTTGGAAATACTATATCTATAGATCAGTGGTTCTCAACCTTGGCTGCACATTAGAATCACCTGGGAATCTTTTTAAAATCCTGATTTCTGGGCCTCATCCTCCAGAAATTCTATTTCTTTGTTATGGGGTGGGGCCACAACATTAGTAACAAAGAAACAGAATTTC